ATACCACATCTCTATAACGAAGTGTGGGTCGGACTATAGGATTTCTTTGCTCGCTTCTGAATGTTTAACTTCCAAATAAGTTTGGCGTCCACAAAAACTCTATGAGAGATCCAGTTCGGTACTATTAAATTTAGGTTCCGTAAAATTAGATAATTTTGTCGACGATAATTTTGTAGAAGGGAAGTGCCCTTCCTTGTAAGTTCACCCACAATTTAATTGCCTGGTATACCTCTGTGTCCCGCTCTGTCATCACTTTGAGTGAGTTGCGAGTTGGGTATGACAGAATCCGAAGCTTTTAATGCCACTTGGCTGTTTGGAAAATGTAGATGTTATTTTCTCTACTTCGCCTGTCCTTAATTACTCGGTAGGCTCCTCTATGACCGCAATCTTGGCTTGAAAGACGCTACTGAGGTCCGGAAGGCGGAATTACTTTTTAACTCCTAGTTATCCCGACAGAGGAAGAGGAAGGCCTCCTCCAGGTGGAGAAGGACTTGGCTTCACTTGGCATTTCCAATTGGCGTCAGTTGGCACACAAGAGAAATTACTGGCGTGCTGTATTGGAATCGGCCAAAATCGCGGCGGTTACAGCGCCAATAAAGAAGAAGAAACTTGCCAGTTATGTATTTAAAATTTTTTTCTTTGTCAAAATGAACAACATATACATACATACGTACATATTTTTGTATGCGCGTATGGTTTTGGAAAACTGTATTTGTTTGTTAATTTTTTTATTTATTTGATTTTTTCTTTTACATCTGCAAAATGCGGAAGCTCTTTTATAGATTTTATGGGGTACATAAAATATTTTCTGATTTATGTGACTTCTCTGTTGCGACTATAGCAGATTGCTATTGGCATTCCAGTCAGTGGTTGTTATTGCTTGCTGACTGTTAAGCTGCGTTTTTTTTTTTACCTATCTATTCATTGCAGTCTATGCACTCTTTACATACAGATTAACAACCACTTAGATTTATGTGTTTTACGTGAAATTTATATCCCAAGTTTGGTGTACAGATTTGCCAACTTGTGGCACGTTTCTGGCGGTGTGGCACATAAAAGCAACATTGTTCTGCGTAATTAAAATGAATTGATTGAGTGATTGGAGGCTTGCCAAATTTGGTGTGTGGTTACTTTCTCTCTTACTGCATATGTAGGTATAATGCTTCATAAATGAGCTTGTCGGAAGCGCTAAATCTACATATACATAAACGTCCTTAAAAAAATAAAAGAAAAATATTTGGTGCTAAAATTTTTTTGTGAAGAAAGACTTAAACTTTTAAGCCGAATCTGAACAGCAAATGGCTTTTATAAGAAGTTTTTTCGTGACAGAAATGCAAGTTCATTTAATTTTTTGTTTACTTTTTGGAATTTTTGAAATCATTCGGCTGGCTTTCCAAGATTTTTTAGTGATAATTTGGTACTTTTTGGGATATTTGACTAGTTTTACTAAATTTTACTGAGCTGCTCGGAGTCTTTTTCTCTTTCAAATCATTTTTTTTGGAGTTTTTTAGGTTTCCCTCTTTTATTAAGTTTTTCTGGAACCCTTCGCCGCTTGTTTGGAACTTTCAAAAGATTTTTAGAACTCTTTCGGAGATTTTTACAAATTTCAAACGTTTTGAGAAATTTTGAGCTTTTCTGTGGGTTTTGTTGTTTTTTGTTGGAAACCATTTTCCTTGTAATTGGAGATCATTCAGTTTTATTAGTAAAGATTTTTTCGTGACATTTCGGAATTTCGCGGTGCTGTTCGGAGTTATTCCGGGATCTTTCTATTATTATACTTTGAAGTATTTAAATCATATGATATGTCTTTTTCAGATTTTAAGAGGACTTTTAGGACTTTTTCCTATTTTTTGGGCTGCCTTTAGTAAATAACGTTCTTTTAATATTTAGATTATATTGTTATAAAAACAAAAATATTTATTTTTTTAATTTCATAAAAAAACAGCATAATATTTTTAATCAAACTTATTATAGAACGAAATAAAAAAAAAATT